TTTAAGAGGAGGTTAGATGAACACCTTGCTGGGGTCGTTTGACCCGAGTACTCTTTCCTGCCATGGCAGGGGGTTGGACTAGATGATCTGCTCAGGTCCCTTCCGACCCTAGAAACTATGAAACTATAATCCTGAAGACACATGGGCAGAGAACTGCCCTGAAAACTACATATACGAGACACTGAACAGAATGTGTTAATACTGTACTTCGTGTGCTATGTCTACAGGATGAGCACTGAGCAGTACCAGGTTGGCTGTATAGATAAATGGCCTGGCATCATTTTTTTCTATTGAGTCAATGCAACAAGCACCAAAAGCATTCTACACCTGTGCATTCAAGATGACTGGGTATCATATGCTTGTAGAGGGTATAATTCAATACAAAAAGTTTAGTAAAAATTCTTCAGTAAAACATGTAAAAAAATGGCTCAACAATGCCAAGCACATTACCACTTTAGGTATTATTATCATATGCATGATTGCTATGTGAGGATAACTGCCCTCTCATTCACTATGTTCACATGCCTAGAAAGTAATTCAAAACAATTTTAATTAACTCCAAAGCTTTCACTTTGTGGGTTGTTTTTTTTTTTTTTTTATCTCACCCCCACCCAGTAGGAATTTTTTCCCCTAACTGCTAAAAATTCTTTCTAATTAACAACAGTCTTCTCTGCTATGACTAAAAATACATCACTAAATATTTAAACAGGTCTGTATGTCACAGAATAACTTGGTGAGCTCTTAGATCAAAAACAAGTAAGGCTGACATTTTCAAACAAAGTTATCAGGAGGAGTGGTCAACCATATGATTTCAAAAGGGCTCTTGGTTACCCTGAATTCAAGTAGTTTCTTTCAAAGACATCAGACTTCATACCTGAGATCTGTGCAGCAGAGAAATATATTCCTTTGAAATCAGGTGAAGATTTTTCTAAATGGGCAGAGAAGCAAGACAAGCAGTTCTCATCTTTTGCCTTTAGTCCAAGCCATGCACATATGGCTTTAAATTCCTCATAATCTCCCAGTTCAAGACAAAAAATCCGACACAGAGAAATGTGTTCTAAAAGAACCAGGTTACATTTTCTAGCCTGCTCACCATAACAGAAACTTAGTTGTTATGACAAAATAAAAATAGTGCTATAGGATAATTGGAAATTACAGGGAAAGCCTTTTCTCACAGTATATCTTCTAGTTTTCCAGGAAACCCGGGAGGCTAATAAATAGGTGAAATTTCATTGTCTTCAGTGGAATAGTATTCAGAGGTATTATCCTTCTTCAAAGCCTTGACGCTATTTGCAATTCCTACACTTCAGGTCTCACTCAAGACCACTCACTCTTCAGCAGCAGCTGGTCAACTGAAGTCCAGTTCTTTTAACTGCTGCTACTCTTCTACCTCCTTTCTTTTACAAAAGGCTACTTCTAAGGTGCTGAATACATCCTGCATTTTTCAACTGCCAATGCCTCTGGAATGTCTATACCACTAGCTCTGAGTGTTTGAGACTGGACTGTAGAAATGGCTACTTCAGACTGCAACATAGTCTCCCTCTTCACTTAGGGCACTGACAGACATGCAGCTCTCTAGTCTAACTCATGGCACTTCACAAAAAGTGCCATGAGTTAAACTGACTCTCTTGACCCAACAGACATTTGTGGTTGGATTGGGAGGGTGGAAGATTGAGCTCCACTTTGGAGCCAATCCAGTAAGAGAGGCTGTGCCTCTGCAACCTCTTTTCCTAGCTCCACTTCCCCCTCTCCCAGCTCCAATGCTGTCTCAGCATGGGCGGGGGAGTTGGCAGGAGAGGGAGATCTGTTCTGGGGTTTGCCCAGCCTGCACTGGAGTGTGTGTGTGGGGGGGATCTGGTGGATTGGAGCCCCCCCCCAGCCCACACACACACCACACTCTGGCACAAGCTGGGCAAACCCCAGTCGGAACTCCCTCCCTCGCTTCCATCCTGAAGACAGCACTGGGGTGGGGCTAGGAGCTGCTTCAGCCAAGCCGCGCTCTCACCATGGGATGACACAAGTTAACGAAGGCACTCCACTTTGAAGCACCTTCATTTGAGCCCTCAAGTAATGAAGGTTCATTTGTTGTGTGATCAGACACTTTTTAAAGTGCTCTGCAGCTATGCACTTCTGCCAGGGCACGGCTGTAGAGTGCTTTCAGTGGCAGATCATGTGACAAAACGTCACTTCTGTTAGTGCCCTTAATGATTGATTGATTGATTGAATGCACGCATGCACGTGTGTGTGTATATACTAACGACTGTGTCTCCATGAAAGCATGTGACTTTACATATAAAGTGGGGATACTGGTGCAGTTTCAATTAGTGCCTGAAAGCACCTTCAAATATTGTTACACTATGGTGGCATCTGTTTATGTAAGATCCAAATACTTGTCCATGGAATTGTTTATGGTATTAGAAGCCGTGTATAAATATAAGATATAATTGCTTTGGCTTTTTCCCAAAACGAAGGTTTCCCAAAAATTTAATGAAACTTTCCATCTGATACTATAGCTAACATATGTGTTTTGCATAGTCAGCAACATGACGCCATTACTTCTGCATCTCTTAGCCAGGCATTGATTAGATGTTAACTCTGATCCTGTTGGCTGGAAGAGCTCAGGAAAAAGCACTGTTGCAATTAATATTCTAGCCTGTGCCTGATTTAGTTCTGGAAAGCATTCTTATTCAGAACAGTATTCAGCAGTATTAAAACTCACTGAAGTCAATCAGATTTAAGCATGTGCTCAAGTGCTTTCCTGGATCAGGGCCATAATGGGCTTCAAAGCTGTCTGCAGACTTGTTAAATTAGGGCTCAGGTTTCTCAGAATCCGTATGCTGTTCATACCCCACATTCCTAAATGTCTTTGCTTTTCCCTGAAGACATTAAGTTGAATTTAACAGTCCCTACTTAGCTTGCAATACGACAAGTGCTATTCATTCATTCATCCGTCCATTTCCTATTCAACTTCAGGGATTGAAATTTTTGTTAAAAGTAGCTATTTTAATTCTGTTTTTCTGATGATCAATCTTAAAGTATCAAGTATTTAAACAGTATGAGTCTTTTCTTGCCTTTTCAATTTGTCTTGTCTTTTGGATAAGGCTTGGGCTTATCCCTTCTTCCTCATCCTTTATGAATAGCATTTCCTTTTTGGTTTTTATTTTAATTTTGCTGCTACTAGAAAACAAAGGGCCCTGTATGACAATGACTACATGCTAAATGCATGCATTCTTGAAATTAGGATACATTCTGAGCAGTCAAATGGTAATGTATACTACAATCTAACATGCATAGCTCGCTGATTTTCGGTCCTAGCTCCTGTGCGGTGCTGGGACTGCAGGCACCTGGCTTTCAACTCTATCCTGGATGAACCTGTCAAGTGAAAGGTCCAGGATCATTCTTCCTGACATGTCTGGCTTTCCTCATCCCATCTAGAGGCCTGGTAAAGTAGAGAGGTCCCTGGTTGATGTCACAGCTGGGTGAGGACCACAAACTGTTTGTATTATCTCTGTGGAGCAGTCTGCCGATAGGGACACCTGTTATCTATTATGATCTGGAGATATTCCTTGTGCAAAAAAAAGTCATAACTTTACATAATATGAGCACACGTAGTGTCTTTTTTACTGCTTGAATGCAGGGTCACTTGTGTTTTAAGTGCATTTAATGTATGCTAAGTCTAACATACTACATGGCCCATGCTGTTGTAGAGCCTATGTGAAGAGCATGGACATTCTCCGCAGAGAGGTAAATGAGACTAATCTGAGGGCTAACAATGAACTGGTCAAATTTGGCTATAAACAAAATGATGTCGGACATCCAAAAGAAAGACTAGGAAAGAAAACACATTTTCCCCCTTTTGATCTCTTTCTGTTCCACAAGCCTACAAATGGCTTGCTTTTGTACTTACTATTGCAATGTTCAAATGAAAGTATGAGTCTCAGGTTGACGGTGTCCTTTTAATAAGAGAATAAAGAACAGAATCTTGTGAGTTCTTATACCTTTAATATAGTTTTAATTTTGACAGAGAAACTCCTTCCCAGCTTTTGTTTGATGCTCAATTATGTTTCCAGTAAACTACTTTTTGAGACTTCTGAACATGCCTGCTGGCGGCAGCAGTTAAGACAGAATCTCTTTAATCTTTATTTACCTGTCACCTCAAACAGTCTCTTCTTGAATGAGCTGACAACATTTCCATCCTTCCTCCTCAGTAAGGGGCTACTTCTCCTTTCTGTCACCTTCTGTTTTAATCTGGAACGCACCTTCAAGTTGGGCTCTGAGGCTGGGAATCAAGAGAAGAAAATATACGATTAACAATTAAAAAGCTGTTTTACCCAGCAGTGCTGTCTTCCTTTTAGTGTGCTCTACCCTGAGCTCCTGTTTGGCCAGAGGAAGAGAGAGGAGGGAGGGAGGACTGGAGAGAAAAAGCAGCAAGGAGGAGGAGGCCCCCTCTACCTTTTCTGTCAAGCTTTTTCAGGGACTGAGGCAGGGTGAAACAGGATCACACTTAGGCAACTAATAGGTAGCCCTTATAATTAACTGGGTGAACTTAGAATCTACAACTCCCCACAATGATGCCACTCAGTAGCCCCTTAGCTTGTAAGCTTTTCCTACACTTGAGCCAACTATAAGGGGCACATGAGAAAAGAAGGGGGGCAGCATTTTACTTCAACAATGCCATACTTACTCAAGCCGAAGGCAAGGTTTTTCCCCCATTCAGCATGGGGAGTTCACCTTGGATCTGAGTACAAAGTGTAGGAGGGAGAGGCCAGATGGTTGTGGCTCCATCCCCAGCCCTGACACAGGCTTGGGATCAGTCAGAGCCATAGCTGCCACCTGCCACCCCACTGCCTCAGCTCCCCAGCCTGGTCCCAGGATTGGAGCTGCCACCACCCTAACTGATGCTGCCTGGCTGGGAGGGCGACAGAACCTCCATGTGCCCCATGGCCCCAACTAGAGCTGAAGCCACAACTAAGGGTATGCAGCAGTGGGGAGGGACAAGGTATGTACATGGGGGTATGGCACAGACACAAGAGGTGGCAGGTGGCAGGGAGGCAAGTGACAGTGTGCAACATGTGGGGGGGCTGTGGATGGGGGGCAAGGTGGAGGGGGGAAGGGTCAGGAGTCATGCCAGTTGACTTCCCTACCGCTTGTTCCCCCACCACTGCTTGCCTCCCTGCCACTGCTTTTCCCCACTGCAGCAGTGAAGGGGGTGAATTTAAGATGACCCTCCAATATTTTTATAATTTTTCCACGTATAGAATCTAATTATTTAAGATGAATTATTATTTCATCCTAAATTCAAAGTCATCTTGGATCTGGGAAAATATGGTATATATGCATTCAAAGGCACAACGCCATGGCATTAGGGGGAGATTTAAAAAAATGCTTGAGACATTGAGTAGCACAAAGGCACAAACACAGTGACACTTGTTAGAAGTCAATGAGACTTATGCTCCTGAAGCTATTTGGTTACTTTAAAATGGTTTAAACAACCATTCTCTTACTATATGCTTCTTTCTCTAGCTCAGTATAGATGCCTACCGCACTGTCAAGTCTATTTCTAATAAAAATGACATTTCAGTGATTAAGTTAAAGATAAAAAGGGTATTTCAATAGTTGGCTGCTGAGCTGATTTTTCCTTCCAGTCCTTAAAGAAATTCCTGTTATTCTCTTTTGCGCTAATCCCAGCTGCAATAGCACGACAGATAGGACTGACAATATTTTCTGCAGGCCTATCAAACATATTTGGCTACTAATACGCTGTTTTGCTATTAGACCTGCTTAGGAGCCAGGAAAAGCCTTATCCTATGGCATTTTTACATCTCTTATAGGTGAAAACTGATAACAGTATACTTAGGAACCCCATTTGCATTTAGATTTTAGTTTGATGGTGGAAACGGGAAGAAGCTTCTGTTAGTGCCTTTTGATATTTTTGAAGAAATATAACTTATGTCAGAACGTATTGGCTGAATATTTCTTAGTCAGCAGTTCAGAGCCTGAAACCTTACTTTCTTAATAACTGCACCAAAACAGATTTATTACAGCATCTAGAGAACATTTAAATCCAGAGAACATGAAAATATAAGCTTAGTCTGAAAAAGAAGAAGTAGGATCGAATCCCAGAAATCCTAGGATTATATTTAATGCATTTTGGACAACTTCCATCTCCTTTTTCATTTACTAAGTAGGCACAGTCTTTAAATGTGAACATTAGAGACCAAGTTTTGTCAAGCATATTGTTTTTGTCACCTCTGTATGAAAAAAAAATCCTTTGCCCATTTGTCTGTTCTACTAGGTAAAACTCTATTAACAGATGGTTAATGGCAGTTAAGTTTAAGGTAGAACTTGTTTATATTTCCCTGTCTGGCCACAAATCTTGGCTCATCAATATCTCAAGCTGTACAGAGCTGGAAACTGGGATCAGTTTCCTCTCTCTCACTTTCATGCACATGCACAGAAGGACAAAATAGGGAGAGGGTGAAATCCTAGATCCATTGAAGACTTCTAACTTCAAATCTGTCTTTTGGTGCAATATGAACACAATTGTTTCCTCCCGTCTCATTTTTTACTATGGGGACATTAGCATTGCCTGAGACAAAGCTAAGGCGTAGCCAAGAACATATGGAATTTAAGTTGCTCCAAGAGTGCTACAAAATATTCTGTGAATTTTGAGGCAGTTGGATTTGCACTGCCTCTTGCCTGCCTTTGTCATGTCTGTTCCTACTTGCAGAAAATCTGGGGGGCTGTATTTCTCAACCGTTTTCAGAGGAATATTTATGTAGATTTATGTATGCTCTGACCAGGAATATCTATGTAGATTTATGTACGCTCTGACCAGGAATCTTACCTAGTTATAGTTTCTTTCGGAAGTGAAGTTAATCAGCTATTGTACTGACTCAGGTTTCAGTTAGGGTTTGTTCTAATTATAATTCTCCATACTCCCAAGCTGTAGGAGAAGACTTCCATATCAGTGACTGAATAATGCAATGTAAATCCTCTGGGCTCAGAGAAAGAGCTCTTCAACATCCACTGGGGACAAGTTCCACTTGTATATGAATGTGTTTCATGCCCAGTTACACTGATTGCATTTCTATTTTTACCACATTCCCATCACACTCTGCATTTCAATCAATCCAAACAGAGAAGGCAGTCTTTTATGTGGATGTCTGAATTTATATGCCAACTGAGAGGATAAACCTTGCATAAAGATGAAGGATCATTATTTAAATGAAAACAATTAATTTTAAAATGAAAAGTGGGGGTGAAAAACAGGTTTTCAATGCTTTAAATGAGATAAAAAGTAAAGCTTTGAGGACTATGAAGTTTAGACTTTCTCCAGTATTCTGCATGAGATGCAGTCAGACGAGAGTACTGCATCAAACAGGATTCTTGATAGTGAGCACTGAAAACTGAGACTCCAGTGAACTAAATACATATGTATAGTTATTGTGTATGGTCTGATGCTTACAGCACAGGATTGGGAAACAGGATTTCTAGCTTCTAAACGTGGCTAAGCCACTGACTCTTAGAGAAGTCACACGGTGAAAAATTGTCCCCACTGAAGTCTATGACAGAATCCATTTATTTCAACAGCAGTTCTCCAAACAAACACATAGCCCATACGTGGAACCCACAAGAATAGGTTAATTTAACCCATCTGAATAAGACCTATGGTAGTGCCCACTGTGCTCAGAGTCAGCACTGAGCAGGACTTTTTCAAGTCATGGTGAGCCACTATATTGAATACATTTTCACTTCCTCTTCCCAGAATTAAGCTGCAACTTTCTTTCCCATTTCCGGTGAGTCCTGCTTTTACCAGCCATAAATGTCTATCAAACATCACTGAACTGGGTCCCAAACAGCTTATTTAGAATCCCTCCATTGCCCTCTCTCTCTGCCTGTCGCATATGATTGGCATGGCCATGCACTCTAAGAGATGGAGCCAGACCATGGTGCCCTGCACCTCATCTACATATACATTTTTGGAGGATCCCAGGACATGTGACAAACACTTGGTTCCAGTCATGAGTGGGGGTCTAATTACCACATCAATCCTTTGTGGTGGGTCTCTGGAGTAGACACATACTGAACAGTGCTGAGCTGTGGGGTCACTGCCATGGCTTGAAATGCAGTTGTCTCTGCTGGGGCCCAGCCCAGTGAGCTAAGTTATGAGCCTTTTGGCATTGGATTAATGTCATGCAAGAATGGTGGCATCTGGGCCTGGGGCTTGCAGATAGGATGCCTGCCTAGACTTGGAGAATATCTGAAGCCCCAGATCAATAGGTCTGGGAGGGAGGCTACTTGCCTGGTAGTAGAGCCACACAGATTTGATGACTGAGCTCTGCTCAGTCAAATTTTGGAAGTTCACTATTGGGCCCTTGAACCAAAATATACAATTTTTAAATGTACTATAAACAAGTAGGCACAGAAGTGCTACTTAAAAGCATATTTATGGAACACCTGAGACAAAAGTTGCAGCTATATCGAAAGAGGTAAACTGCATCACTTCTGGATGAACTAAGTCTATGGGTACTTGTAGTAATTTCTCTATATGAAAGTTACTACAGGTATCTTTATTTCTAGGTCAGTGTTTTCAAATTTGCTTCTCTCTTCCATGTGTTCAGGGAGCACAGGGTCTGACATCAAGGAAGGGGCTGCAAGGGAAAAATTGCAGGGGGTGTAGCAAAAGGCACCTGACCTCCCCCCCCCAAATTTATTTTCCCTGCTGTAGCAGTGGAAAGGGAACAAATTCAAGGCAAACCTCAAAAATGAGATTCTATACTTGGAAAACTGCAATAAATTTGAACATTTTCCATATATAGAATCTAATTATTGGAGGGTCGTCATATAGTCAGAACTATCTTATATTCAAGTAAATATGGTATTTTACACACCCTGATAACTAGCAGTGATGAACAAAGTAATGTGAAAGCACAAAAGAGAGATAACAGTAGAAGAGAAAAAAAAAATGACGGATCTATTGAAATTCAGGTCCTCATAAGCATTGTAACCGAGTAGTACAGAATAAGGAAAGCAACCCTTGCAGTTATAAAGACAGAATGGAAACTCCTGCACTTCTCATGTACCTAATTACAGCTTCACTTACACAAACAAATTCAGCTATCTGAGCAGCTTTCCAAAGCGGTTCAGATAGTTGAAGATGTACTGTATTGTGCCTTAAATTCAGTTTAGCTTATTAATTTTTTCCTTAGACAGAAACCCCTAAGGCAACTCTGTGCAGAGAGCTGGCTGTTTATGTACAATCTCTGAAACCCTAAG